ATTATATACATATATATATCTAAATATATATACACATAATTAACATACATATATGTATATTAACATAAGCACATATATATGTTATTGTAAAAATTATATTGTATATTATATATGGTATGCATCATGCATATATATATATATATAACTACCATACATATGTGTATACTGACATGAATGTATGAATGCTAATGCAATGGAATTTACCGAAGCGAAATGTTCGTTTCTTTGGCGAATGATAACCGTTCAAGTTGTTGAAGCGTTACAAATTCCGTGTAACAGGAGCGTTGTGAATCGTCAAATCGATTCCTTTCTAACAGGTGACAAGAAGTTTGCTGGAATGAATCATTTTTTTGTTACTTCTTTTCGTTCCCATAGGTGCCAATTTTTTTTTTTCTTTTTTGTTTTTTTAAATATATATTAATCTTGATAAGCGAAATGCATCTCGTTATGCATTTACAATATTTATGTTACCGTCGAAGCCGGAAATCAGTCATTGTTAGTAATTTCTCGGCATTCTCATCAATACAATTCCGATGAAGTAGGAAACAGAAGACTCTGACATTTTTTGAACCTTTGCAAATTGATTTATAACTCGAAAAGATAATCTACGCGTAGCCAAAAGTGTGCATTTTAATTTAATATAAGTTTCATTAAAATCTATTCACTTTTAGTATAAAAAATATTTACCGAAACTTATCAAAAAAATTGCAAAGATGCACAATATACAGCATTGCATTCTCTAACATTTTCTGAACTTTATATGCTAAATTTATAACTCGATATTGTATTCAACGCGTAGACAAAAGAGTGTACTTTAATTTAATATAAGTTTCATTAAAATCTATTCACTTTTAGTAAACAAAATATTTACCGAAACTTTTCAAAGAAGTTAGGAATTACTAGCAATATGGCGGATTTCTGGCTATGACGTTAACATTTATAGTAAATAACAAACGTAAATCGTTCAGCGTAACAACCTGTGAAGATATTCACCGTTATTTGGTATTCTAATGATACGACTACTCGTTCAAAATATAGTAAAACGAAAAGAAAAAGAAAAAATAGAAAGAAAAAAAGGGAAAAAATGTTTCACGAAGTGGTAACAGTTGATAGAAGAAGTCCTTTCATTTACAGTTAACTCGATGTGCAATCTCTCGTTTATCGTGTGGTAGTATTTAAACGTGTTACACTCGATATCATCTTATATTAGAGATAGAAAAGGACCGTAAGAGACCGTAATCTAATTTATTTTTTTCTTCTTCTTTTATCTCATATTTATTTTGTACAAGATCAACGGATTAACATGAGTCCTTTCCGTTAGATTAGCTTGACTATTGCATTTTATGTAATTGGAATATTTCCTATTTTATTATTTCTACGCGTTTATTTCATTTACATTTTGTTAGTTTCTTTTTTCTTTCTCAAACGCGAGTAATAAAAAAGTAATAACTACGATAAGCTTCGAGATAATATAAACTTTGTAATGAAAACATTCAAAATGAAATGGTAATGATTGTATGTAACGTGAATATTTAAATATATCTATGTAAATATAAAAACAGCGAGAGTGTTTCCTGCTTTTATTTTTTTTTCTTTTTTATAGAGAAAATCAAAATTTATGGCTTATGTTAGCGGGCTATACTATGACTCAGTGTTTATACGTCATAGTGAACGAATATACGGTAAAGATATATTACGTGAAATAATAATAATAATAATAATTAATATAATACGTGAAATATATAAATCTAACAAGGGTGGAGGGGTGGATAAATTATCTTTAATCAATTCGTTCGAATTAAATTAATTACAACGATTTTGAAATGCACATTTAATTTGATTTCCTTCTTATTATAATTTCGATTTCGTATATATATATATAAATGTTAGATATATTATAACGTGAGATAATAATAATAATAATTTAAAATATTGTTAATTATTAAAAGAGTAATGTAAATTAAAATAAATAACTGTTATATGATTTTAAAGTAGTGGATGAATGGTTGGAAGTGTGTTTACATTCGTTAAGATCAAAGGTGTAACTCGGAAGTCGTTGTTAATTCACCATAAGAGGGAATGCACTTAATGCAAGCGCATGGATAATATTACGTTATAGCCGTAACACTGAGTAAAATTATCTTACAGAACATTTTGTCTATTCATTGTTGCATTTTATATTATTATACGAAGTAGTTACTACTTCCTTTTCAGTGTTTGCAATTTTTTTCCTGACTCCTTTTAAACGAATCTTAATTCTCATTCCTTTTATTTCTATTTTATTAGGAAGACAGAATGCAACAGCAACAGCAAACTCTTCTCGTGCACTCATCGAAAGAAAAAAGTTTTCTTCTTCTTCTTTTACTCTCCCCTTTTACTTCTTGTTGGTTGATGCAAATGCAGTGGCCAGGAATAGAGAGGAATAAGATGAGAGACGAAGGGTGAGGAGGAGGAGGGTGAGAGGAGACAGGCAAAGTTAACGGCAAGAGGAGAAGTGGAGGAAAAGGAGAAATGAAGAAGAAGAAGAAGAGGAAGAAGAAGAAGATTTAAAAAAAGAAAATAAAAAAGTACCATCCAGGAGGAACTGGATGTACCGCTCAAGGACACGATCTACCTCAACGGCCAGTCTCGTGACGAGGATGTATACTAAGAGGGAGAGAAGGTGGAGGAGGAGGGTGGAAGTCGCCAGACGAGGAATGAACAAGATAAGATGAAGAAGAATAAGAATAAGAAGAAGAAGAAATAATCGAAAAATAAGTCAAATAAAAAAGATCACGTTCACGTTCACATTCACAAAAGCAGAATAAGAATAAGAATAAAAATAAGGGATTGAATTCTAGGGTGAGTAGTCCGTGTTTACATTAAACCAACGTTTGAGATCCTATTTTTTTTTTTTTTTAATGCTTGATTCCAACTCTCTACATCGATGAAACTATTTGAATCCGCAGAATCGTGCCGAAGAAACGTCGTGGGATATCGAAAGAAGGAATGACTGAAGAATAAGAATAAGAAGAAGATTCCTTTGTTCGTTTGCTACGTGCTCGATAAATTAATGGGTTGGAAGGAGTACGTAATCCGTATGTAAAACGTGAGTTATATGCTAATGTTCATCATTAATACTTTTTTTTTTTTATTTCTCTATTAGTTAGCTTGTATTTTAACATGAATTTTAACATCAATCGTTTAAACTCTTTCCTTGTTTTTTATTTGCTTTTTTTTACAAAACTTTGACGAACATCAGGTTGCATTTTTATCGTGCATGTATAAGTATGTAATATAAAATGGTCTTTGTCAGGATAAAGAAATTAAAATCCCGTGTAGAATGATTCGTATTCGCGTGTTTCAAAGAATTCATACGTGTATCATTGTATTTAACCCTTTCAGTGCAATATCAATGCAAATAATGTAATATTTTGTCGTGTATTGATTATT